ACGGTAAACATATGCTCACATGTATAGGTTCTAACAAACATGCACAGAATGCTTGCTGTGGGTTTTACCCTGTAACTTCATATTCAGATTAGTCAAGTGTTGATTCAAATCTACCAGAATGGCACAATCAACCCACCAGTTCATAATCAACTGAGTTGCCTATTCCTAACATGAAGGTTCGAATAGGATCACGTAATGCAAATAATCTTTCTGAAGCTACTCCTCAACTGAGCCAACGAACTTCGGTGGAAAGAGGGGCATCAGAAACACCCAAATCTTGTAAAAACTGCCTGAACTTGATTTCTTCGCGATTTACAATGCAACAATGAAACTTGATTTCAGGGCAGCTTCGCTGTCGGTATTAGCTTTAGTGAACATCGATTATGAAAATTGAAGTTTAGATTTCAAAGATGAAAAGGTGTCTATCCCTATTTTTCAGTGTAACAATCGGATTTAGATTCATGTTTCGTATCATAGTTGAACTCCTTACAAACAGCTTTACGTTTTTGTGACATTATGCCAAAATCGTAACAATTATGAAACTCGACACAACAATTATGGATATCGCACGTGCACGACACAAACGAATGCACAAAATCTTTACAATCACTACTTCGCAGTATAACCAGAATCCTTCTCCGACCGTATCGCTTCGATTACTCTACTCAACAGACTCACGTCGCGTCGAACCGACGCACTTCTTTTATATTGATAAGAAAGGTTTCAGTCTAGACTCGAAGAACGTGAAAGATTATATCGTTTCAAAAAAAAATAATAGGGTATTTTCGCTTGTTGCTAAGAGACGGCGTTTTCACTAGACCTGAATAGATACCTTATTAACATTGTCTCGCTTATCTTGACACGCGCTGCCCTTGAAATTGCCCATAAATGCACTGTTTTCGCATTTCAAAACTTCCGTAGAGGAATCGAGCAAAGTCTTAAAGATCTGAAAAATATGATTTATTTTCTGTGACACATTGCGATCGCGGGCCGTAGTGATACCGGCCCTAAAGGCACCCATTCATTTACAGGCCGCCTTCAGGCCGTTGCCTCAAGGCGCGCCGCCTTAGGGCCAATTTTCACCACAGACACACCGTCCTATGACAGGTTCAGACCTGCAGGCGATCGAAACTCATTGAATTCGCATCGTGTGTGTTCATTTATCGTCAGTCCATGACTGAAGATCTGAACTACCATTCGAGCGCATTCTACCAGGCTCCTCCTGTTCATAGTAAACAGAAGCTCCGTCCGGGTGCGCAGCTGTCTTGCGCAGAGCAATGCTGCCACCATTTTTCATTCACTTCTTCTTTTAACAAAAACACTTCACTTCTGTTCTAGTCGCTTCCTTCTCGATAGGCATTCCGATGAAAATAATACAAATAGACTCGTTCATATAGTTTACAGAATTGATGACCTCGTCGAATCCGTCGACATCCAGCCTGGTTACTGGCTAGAGGGCCGCCAGTCCTCTCATATTCCACTTCGATATCCATTCAAATTCATCCTCATTTTAGATTACACTTTATTTTAAGCTTAAAAATTTTGGAATCCACTCCGACAACGATATCAACGTGCCATCTTTGGGGGCGGTCATTAAATTGATTGATATCATTTCATTTTATTCTATCGTTATTCATAACCTGACTGATATCTTATCATCCCCGTTTTTTCTACCTGTGTTTATGTATGAGTGCCAACAATGAGATATTACAAATGGGACCTTCATAGACCTCTAATAACATTTTAAAAATGTATTGATATGTTTCAATTTTTTTAAACATTTCTCACTTATTTTGTCGCCATCTTCCATGGCCTTTCGAGCAACACTGGACTTGTGTGGTCCATGAGATCGAATATGCGAAACCAGTTCTTCGTGTCGAACTATTATAGTCCGCTTAGTTTGGCTAAAATATATTTTATCGCCATCTCTACAGCTCATTTTCTAAATCCCAAACTTTTTCTTCTCGTTGTTTCATCTTTCAGGTTGCCCAACACATGTTGAAGTGTATGAGAAATTGTGAAAGCCACTTTCACATAAATTTTCCAAAAATTTGAACTACTCGGTGTATTCTGGTTCGTATGGAAGAACTGAAGATTTTGAGTATTCATGTCTCTGAAAACTCTGAATATTCTCTCCTCTATCAGATTATTAAGGGATAGTCATAGCCCTCCTATCTCCTAGCTATCTCCTAGATACATTTTTCCTCGATAGTATATCTTCCTTCGCTCGAAGAACGTGACCAGTTTATGATAATGTAGTCTCGCCATTTTTTGTTGTAGGCAATGACAGGAGCCGTTAGGGATATATCTGGATGTGCTAGTATTCTTTCTATATGAATCAATTCCCCAAACGAAAAAAGATATGAAACTTTCTTTGTTTTTTACCACTTGTATTTGTTACTTTGTTACTGGAGTTTCGTCCAGTATGGACAGTTCCATTGTATTAGTTTGAAACAATCCATGTAGGAAAAAGCTGCAGCTAATCAATTAATTTATTCAAATTATGTATACCTACTTATCGGTGTTTTTTATAACTGTAACATTCAAGAATGGTAACTCTCCACTATTTTTCCATCTGAACTTCATTCAAAGTTAACGTACTTTATATAAAGTTAACGTATGGAATTGTGAATGAATTATGGAACATTTACTTGTACATGGACTAGTCACGTGCACTTTCAGCAAAAAAAAAGTAATCGAGAAAATAGCTGAAATAAACGGATGTCCATCAAACATCGTTGATAATTCAAATTCTTGACTTTTCAGAAACATGAAGACTCAAAATTCAAATTGCATTCCATAAATGTGAAGAGTGACTAAGAATCTTACCTTACCAAAAAGTGGCGGCGTAGTTGAGTGTGATTTTAATATATGTGATTGATGACTTGTTTACTATAGATGTGATCAAATGATGAAGAAGGTGTAATTGATATTGAAAGAGGTAATTTTTGGGGGCAATTATGGTAATAAAAGCATTTTGACTTTCACTTTTCCATCTTCATACAAAAAATTGTGAAAAACATCTATAGGATAAAAAAGGATCAATTGCAGAATCAACTTTCCATAAAGATGTTTAGTCAGATCCTTCATTTTCAAATTCTACCAATTCAGAAATTTTCTTCAATTTCCGGAATCATAGAAATTACATTATTATGTATCCAACTCGTGTTTTAAGTTCAATTGAAGCTACCGTAGAATTCAATTAGATATATGCAACTTTGTTGATAATAGAGGAGCATGATGTTTATATGAGCTCTTATGATTGGTCATTACTGAATATGGAAGTTAGGTTTGGGTACCTTGCGAAAATGACGGGTCTGTTTTGTCTAGATAACTTTCTGCAAAATTTCCCCGTCAAATTCTTGTCCTTGCTCGTACCACTTCATTGAATCATGTTATTACAGAGGAATCTTCTGGTATAACTCACGTTTCAATGATGTTGATGGAGAGAATAAATTTGACGTAGTGAGAATTTGAAACTGTTGTATTTCGACGTAGTGAGAATTCGACGTAGTGATACTCCTTGCTTCTATACAAGTTATTATTCTTACGTCGATATCTCACTACTACGAAATCTCACTACGTCGAAATATCACTACACAGTACATCGAATTCGCAATACGTCGAATTTCCGCCATACGAAATTGATTCGGAATTTGACAACTTTCGTAACCCCAGGGAAAGGGATGGCTTTCGAGTTAATGACTCCGAAGAAGGTTTGATTATATAAATGAAAACACGTTGAAGTATATTTCAATTCTCTAGTGGCTTGTGATACTACATGAAAAGTCTTCAAGTTCACAAGATGCTTAAGGCTTTCGCGGCCGATATTTCCAGTATTACTATTTTTCACGTATGAAGGCCGTCGATTTTTTAAATCCCTTTCTGCCGTTTCGCTGGTGCGGTGGCTAGGATGTTCAGATGTTCATATATCCTGAGTAATCTGCGATATCCATAATATTCAGTCATCGGAGATAACTCAGGATTCATAAACCTCCAGAGAAGATAGCCACTCATGCCAGCGAAACGCCAGGAAAAATTTCCAAACATCGTCGCCCTTCAAACCTGAAAAATAGTGACAATCTTCAAGATCAGTTCTCGAATGCAGCTCATTTCTCCAAATTGCACTGAGAACCTAAATTCTTCACTTTCCTCCGAGATGAATAAGATTCACAAAACGTCCTGTGAGCTGTTTCAGAAAAGGACTTGATTATTAGTAGATAAGGTTCTCAAACGCAAAAAGGAAAACCATTCGATTTTTATCTCCTTTCAAAAATCAATCTGGCTTTTGAGTAGTCAGAATGACTTCACGTAGCTATATTCAAGATAGTATCAGTAAATAATTCTACAAATGATGTTGGAATGAAAGAGATGAAATGTATAATTGTATTAATTTTTCTCAGTTGGGTGCAACTACAATGTCAAGAATTGTGTCAAAAAAAAACACAGAAATAATTGGTGAGAATTGATTTGCTGAGAAAGAATGGAAAGGAACAAACTATTTCTCAAAACAAGCAGTACTTGTCATTGAAACTTTTCGATTTCCATGGCTCCCCAAAAAATTTCGATTTTCAATATTATAGGTATCATTATATTTTTGATACTGTGAACATAACTGCATTCGATCAGGATGCATGTGACAATTTGTAGTCGAGATGTTGGCAGTTTTCACCAAAATAATGAGTTTTTGAATGAATGTATGCTGTTTATTTCGGCAGGAATAGTGATATTCTTCAACATAATGATGATAATGTCAATTCAACTTTGAGATCTATTTCGAAACAATTTTGATGCTAGTATTTATCTAGAGCATTCTTGATAGTGAAGAAGTCAGAACGTTTGAGATGCTATATTATTTTTTATTGCTGTTTTTATTATGAGCGAGTAACTTTGAAAAATCTACAATTTGCTTAATTCAGAAAATTATGTTGAGATTTCAATTTTTGAAGATCAATTTTGTTATTCAATTCGTGAGATGTGGAGTTGAATGATGGTTGCTTATAGTGCAGGTATATTTCTACTTTCTTCATCGTTGTACGTTCGGATTGCAGGTTTCTTTCAAATTGCTTGTTGTAGTAGCATTAGATATGAGTATGAAGTTTTAACAATCTGAAACAAATAAATCTTCAAATAACGAAATCATAAATGCTCAATGTTTCATTGATCTGAATGCCGATGATTTATGTGATAATGTACTGAACTCTGTCATTGTATATTCAAAGATTTGTCTTGACAGAATGCATCAGTTACTTGAGAATGGTACAACAAACCGAAACCACTCGTAACAAATGATAAACTTAGTGAATAAAAATTTCTCTGTATCCTATATTCAATATGAATTTCTACGAAACGAAAAGGTCATCAATAGAATACGTTCTCCATTCCACCTTTTGTATTCATTCGTCTATTTGGTGTTTCTGGAAAATGTTGAATACTTGAAACGTTAACATAGCAGTCAAAAGACTGGAGTAAAGCTATGATTTCAGCAGTCAATTGATAATGACCGGTGAAGATTTTGATGCATACTAAAGGAGTTGTAGCGTTGCTTCTGTAATAATTTTTGTTATGGTTTCAAGCTAATGATAATCTCTTTCTCTCAAAAATCAACCAATCGAAAGTACTTCCAAAGGCATGTTAGTTATCACGTTTATGTGAGGGATGGACAAATAGATAAAATGATGAGGCATTCACGGAGGGAACTCAAAAATAAAAATGGACGTATGCAATCAGACATATGTTCCATAGAACACTTGACGGAGTTATTATATTGAAACAATCCAAACAAGTTAGGCGAGAGAATATTAGCTATAGCTCTCATGAAGCTGAATCACAGGTATATTCAATGAACTCAGAAAATCCAGCATCATTCAGTAATGAATAATTGGATATAAAATGAATTTTAATTAATAATCTGAAATATATTGCGATGAAGTGTCCATTTCTGTCCCGAAAATCGCATCAGCCGCATCGAAAAAACGTATTATTTCGATGTCCCATCTTCTTCAGGAACCCATGTAATTTGCATTCTGAGGTGTCGCAGAAGAAATGGTTCTAAAATTGAAATTCTCTCCAGAATACATCAAAGTCAAAGAGTGATGAGGCGTTCATTTTTGTCGCGAACATCGCATCAAAAATTTCGTATAAATAATACATGATCATGCAGTCTTTTCAGTCGCAAAAATTATATCAAAAAATGCATATTATCAAAATCATATCTGTATGTTTCGCATTTTCCTTATGACTACTGTGATGCAGGAAGCAAAAGCATCCTGCAGCGTCATCGATAGGCAGTGGTGGTGGTTTCCTATATGTGTACACCCTATGGAGACATTCATTTTGATAATTTGAAATTGTGTAATGTGGAATGTTCCACGAACGCATCAGATATAGTCAATAAAGATTAAGTGAATGAAAATGAGAAAAATTAAACTGCTTATACACGGGAAAATATGTCTGACTTCCATTGGGAAATGATCGACTTCACGGAAATTGAAGTCAAAAAAATATTGAAGAGAAAGGCGTATCGAGAGGACTAGCGGCCCCCTATGTCATTAATCAGACTGGATGCTGACAAATTCGTTAAAGTCGTCAGTTCGATGATGAATATAAACATGTGTGGATTGATTTTGTCGATTTGTGATATTCTTATATAAAGGCCTCACGAAGAGGAGACAACCAATATTATTTGTTCCTCATCGTGTGATCTTCACTTTGTTCAAAGTTAAACAAATCATGGGCGTAACAACGGACTGTATGCTGGATTACAGTTTTTTACCCCTATAAGCAACCAATATGATCATCAAACGTGATTTCATATTTTACAACGCATTTTCAACCATTTCAGTATATAACGAGTGAGTGTTGGTGTACATCAACTTTAAATTTTTTACTATCAACTTTCGAAGCATATATATTTGAGCATAAAATGCCACGTGTAGCCACGTGTAGTGTAACGTGAAATGCCAAGCAGGTTCTGGAGAGTACGTTCGTGTGAATAGCTCTTGGACATTTTCGAAAACGTCTGCAAGTAGAAAAATATCGATTTTTATATTTTCTCTTCTGCCATATTCTTCGAATATAGGCATTGTCTGAAATGTTGGTATAATTTATTTTATTGCAGAAAATGTTTGTGGATGGTAGTTCAGTCTCTTCCAGTAAATACGCCCTCTTCAGTCAGCGACATGAATCAACCTTCTTTCAAATAGACGATTTTTATTAAGAATTCAAGATTTTCAACTTTCAAATTTGATACAAGTGCATCGAGACCTGTCTCCAACAAATGAATAGAATTTTTGAATTTCAATTCAGAATCAGTCTTGTCATCATAGAATGTGGAGGAAATGTACTTTTCTCTATTGATAGAAAGTACACTCACACATCCTCGGATTGATATATCCCTAATAATCAAATGACTGACAGCCTGACAAGTTGTGGAACGCGATAGGGACTACAAAGAGCATTTTGAGGCCAAGGTGCATGCTTGATGGGTGAATTAAGCATGATAAATCAATCTGTGAAATGACAATGATCGTAGTCGATAACGTCTTTTTTGGTGATGGGTTTTTCGCAAATACCACATGTCGTTACGCTACCGATAGTCTTTGGAGCACTATCATGGGTGTTATATTTCTAATTTTGGATAAAATCAGTTTTGCAATTTAGTTTATTCCATCCACGAACCAGTCCATGCAATCCAGACATCGATAGCCAACGACATAGGCTTAATGTCGTTGGTATTTTGAAGTAGATACCGAAATTTGAACATTACATTTTTGTAGTTGAGACTCGAAATCTATTAACTGGAAAATAATCTAGACATACTTTTTATCCAGCATTAATGGTAATTTTTATCAATATTTTCATCATCGACATGTGACGCTTCATAGTCATTCAATTTCGGAAAATAGCTGTTCCGAATCAGTAGCAAATCAATATGAAGTTCTAGTTTATTTTTGATTAAGTCGTTCAGATGTCACAATACTAAAAAATTCCTCAATAACTAATACTATTCAGCTTTCGAAATCAAGAATTTTGTGAAAAAGCATGGGTACGTCAAGATATTCTATTTTCAAAACTGTATCACAATGAGAGTATGAGGAAGTTCGTATTTCTCTTCCTTCAGCTGTTTAAAGAGCACTGACTATGCTCCAGTGAGAGCATAATGAATTCTAATGAAAGACGTGTCCTTCTTGGGGTTTCAATTTGTAGCGGAGCCGTGTTGAAATTCTGCTGTCTGGGTAGGATCTTGCCTGTACTGAGGTGATACCTCGAAACCGTGGTCTGCAGGTGATCTACTTGAGTAATTTCAGCATGATACTGCTGTTGTATGAACAAAAAACATCTGCAAAACTAATCTCTGTGGGGTATCTTGGTATCTTGCATAAATGTCTGTGGGGTATAATTCAATATATAGCATGGTATTAGCCAGGAAAGTAGATGTTTTCTGACAGAAATTAACGAGAGTCTACTGTTTAAGTAGTTGAAAGAGGTAGCTATAACGGAATTTCATTTTGAAATGTTCATTTCCTTATTTCATTTCCTTCGATAGTGTTCCCGTTTCTTTCTCGCTTGGGGCTTTGTTCACGAAGTGTTAGTAGTTAACAATCCTTCTTTTATACAAAAGTTTCATATATGTTTTGCTGTCTGTTATGACGAGGGGCAATACTTCGAAATCGTGGTCTGCAGGTGATCTACTTGAATGATTTCAGTATAGTTATGCTGCTAAATGAACGAGAAACATATGCGAGACTGACCTCTTTGAGGCATCTTGCAACCATTATCAAAGAATGATTTGAGAATGGTTAAATAAACAGGAATCGGTCGTATCGAATAGAAATCCCAGTGGAAATTAGGCAAAAGTTATTTTATTTATTATGTCTCCGAAAATGATGGAGTTAGCTTCCTGAAAGCGTGCGTCTAGCATGTACTTTGAAGATCTGGTTTTGAATGACGTTAATTGTTTCATTGTTGCCAAACAAAATCATTTGAAATCATATCATATCTATACCAATCATATAGGAACTGATTGACTTTTTCAAGATGATTTGTTTCTCAGGTTGGAGAGAACTTTATGAATTGATTTTTATTTCCGAGGTTGGTAACATCAATGGAGGTCGTTATCGCAAAAGAATTGAAGGGTTTAAACCATCTTACCAAATCAATACCTGTTCAGACCTATTTTTGGCCTTTCCGAGACCTGTTCGAAAGAAAACGAAATAAATATCCAAAAGCTGATAGATATTTATTCCGTAGCAATGGAAAGTGGAAGCATTGTTATTGAAAAACAGAAAAGAAACTCAAAAATAACCGAAAAATACGATCATTTGAAACGATTTTTTTTCAATAAACCATCTTGTTTGAGGCACTTGTTACATTAAATTCTTGAGACACCTGCTATATCTGTTTGGTACGTTGAATTTCAATTTGATGTTCACGCGGTCACTGTACGAACGTTATCTATCTACTGAACTTTTCCAGCATGATTTTGATGTCCATTGGAGAAAACAATAGGATGGGAGAAACATCTTCATTATTTTACATCGGTTATGACTTTGGAAAGTACATCCTTCATTTCAACAAAATATTGAAATTATATTAAGTGTGAAATAAATCTTTCCGAAACATTATCACCCCTTCAAAAATTGAAAAATAGCATATTACCAAAAAAAAAGAGAAAAAATATATCAGTCAAATACTGAAATATATCTGAATAGAAAAGGGGAATAATCAAAGGTTTATATATAGTCGTTTAGGTAAAACAAACAAATACTTATGATAGTGAAAAATACTAAATAGAAGTATCCGCAGACTCTTCAGATAAATTAGAAAGTGGACACAGTTTGGACAAAGATCATTTCAAGATACCAGCTGGTGTTTTTACCGTGGCGACTCTGTTAACTAAATCACGACCTGAGTGAAACATCAAAATGCGACCAAGAGACCACTTTCAAAGCAGTGAATTCTCATTTCTAATGAGCATTAGAGATCCCTCTCCAGAAGAGGGTGTATTCGAGTTAAGCCATTTCTGCCTGTGCTGGAGACTTTGTGTGCCATTTTTTTCAAAAATCCTGTTGCATTTTTGTATCATATAACAAAGCGGTTGAATAAATTTGACGGGAAAGTGAAATTGGGTGTTTTGCATTCAGCAATCTATTCTTCTGAGATAAAAAAAGATTGGAAGCAAGTTGTCTTATTCCGGTGAAAGTAGGATGCGGTCTCACAATGGTAACGATTCAGTATATAATTCAGTAGTATATCTGATAGTACTGCTGGTTGTTTTGAAATGATTTTCACCAAATTATTCATCAGGATTAACCAACTCACAGAATGGGACGTCTTCTATCCCTCAATATTTTTCAATGCCACTTTCTAGTTTCGATAATTCACAAAAATTATAAAACGAAGTCATCGTTTTGAATATTCAGATATAGTGTTTATAGTGGTGGATTCATTTCCCGTTATTGAGCAATTTAATAGAATGTATGCCAGGGTTATATTTTTAGGAGTGTGGCTAATTTTTGAGAAAAAAAGTTTTTGACTTCCTACTACTCCATCTTGATACAGATAAATGTGGGAATGTTTCAAAGATAGGAAGGATATGTAGAAACCCTGTGAATGATATCTGAATAAATTCCATAACGATTGTTTGGAATACAAACTGAGTAGAAAAAAGTGTTTTCTATATAATTCAGAATTTTTATTACATGTAATTCAATGTTTATATGAGAACAGCTGTTTCAGGAAGGCTTTTTCTTCCATATTCGTGTCTGAAAGTTACTTTTTTGCATGATCTACACATCTATGTATACAGTTACTTCTTTTTAAAATTCATTACCTTCCCTCTTCCTTTGGAGGATTCCCACATTTTTTTGTATTAAAATGGAGTAGTAGAAAGCCAAAAACTTTCTTTCCCAAATATATGACAACCTTGAACTTATCATCAGCAAGCTTGTTTGATAGATATGTTGTCTCAATAAACAGAGATTAGGGTATAACCATATATATTTATTGTTTGTAGGTAAGCGCCCTTGGGGCTATAGTGCATATATCAATCGATAATTACCTATTTCCACCTAATTATCGATTGATATATGCACTATAACCCAAAGACAAACTTGCCCACAAACGATAAATATATGATTATACCCTGAACTTTGTTTATTGATATAATTTTATAAGTGCATGTAACCTCCCAACAAAAATGATAGATATGTGACCAAGAATTAATAATAATATTTGAAGGAGGTTACTTGTCATAAATTTTGTTCAATATCAGAGCATCTGTGTGCATAGTGGATGGAGACTTGATTCAAATATGCGTAAAAACACAAACTTTATCAATAATTAATAATCGTACCAGCTTTCAGATATAAAACAATTCCACGAATCAGTCTATAACAAAATATTTTTTTACTACTTTGGTATAAACATTAAATTACACGAAAGAAAAATACTTTCGAAACAAATATTGAACACTGAATTATACAAAAAACATATTTTCCTATTCGGTTTGTATAATAAAAATTTGTAAAATACAAACTACTAAAAATATAACTACTAAAGTGTGTTTATATAATTCAGTGTTCATATAAAAGTGTTCATTCCGTTTAATTCAATATTTTCATGAAAATAACTCTGTTGAATAACTTTTTTTGGAATTGATTGCTGTCTTGCTTTCTTTGGAAGATTCCCACATTTGTTTGTATCAAGATGGAGAAGTAGAAAGCTAAAACCTTTTTATACCAGAAATATAATATTATCATTTCACCAACAGTTGGTTTTGTCGATAGACTTCTCAGGAGATGTTTATCGACGGTATTTGGAAAATAATGAATTATCCCAGTTGCAACTCTGAAACTCACCTCTGTTCCCTGAAGATAATGAAAGAGCTCGTTGTCTACTTATGTAGTGTGGAGCGGTTAGATAATTAGTTAGCGTGGATTGCGTTCGAATAATAAAAATAAAATCATCTAAAAGAACAATTCGTCCCGGCAAGTCACAACTCCCTTCACCTGTAGGTTAATGGACTGACACTTATCAGAAAACAACTACTTCCCTGGATAATACCACGAAGGGCGTTGAATTATATCCGACAGGTGTCAGTGCAGGATTCTTCACTGACCGGTTTCGTGCTGTTTGGCTACTTGTCAGTGCAAGTCCATGATTTTCGATAATTTCAAATCGAATTCCTTCAGAGTATCATTCCTCGAACCAGGCTGAATCGGACAACAAACAACAGGTTTGTCATCGCCCCGTCTGCCTGTGAACGAGGTAACCAACCGCATATCGGAAATTTGCCCAATTCCTTGTATAATGAAAGAAGTATGGCCACTGACTATATGTGAAAAATTAAGAAAATAATACTGGAAATAGCTTTGAGTGCTTCGGAGAATCTGAAACGACTGACTGAGCGTTTGGTCAATCGTCCTTCTGAAGAGTGGTTGAGGATTCAATGAATGCCATTGCGGATTTTAACAAAATACTGGAGTGGTTAATGATTATTTCCGAAAGAGCCACTAAGAACTCAAAGTTAAAGAAACAAAGACTCAAAAATGAGGGAGAATATATTTTTTTGAGAATGAAAAAGTTCTGTTTATCATAATGTACATTATTTCGGAATTCTCCAACTGTAAATAATATGAATGATCTTGTTACCCAACCAACTTTTCTTCAGAATAAGGATTAAATGAGGAGTTGACTTAAGGAAAAATACAACTGGATTTTTTCTGCTCATATTTCCATGACATTGAATGAGGTAATAACCTATACAATTGTAGTTAGTTTTTAAAATCATTGAATTTTCATGCTAATTATGAATTTTTTGATACGAATGGCAACATTTTGAGGTCATACGAAATGAGCAGAACATTTTTATGAAAAATGAATAATCCATTTCATTGGGAAATTATAATTTCTGGATCAATCGTTCCATAGATATGTCATACTTCAAGTTGAAAGGGGTATATTTTTACAAAAAAAATATTTCTTGGGGAAGAAGGATTTTGGTTTTCTTCTCCTTCATCTTCATACAAAAAATCATTCCCACATTTTTCGTTTGAAGATGGAGAAGTAGAGAGCCGAAATCTTTCTTCCTGTCTTTTCGATTGCTTTCTGCTGACGTAGATCAGGAAATAACTGATTTCTTGGTCTTACATAACTTATAATTACTTACCATCATGAACAATGGAAAACAAAAGTTTCCAAGTGGCCACGCATCCAGTGTGAGCGGAATCTGACATCTTGCTAAAGAGAATAGAATACTTTTCTTCATTTGTGTGTTGGCTTCGTACCATTTTGATTGATAAATAACTTCAGCAACTGATAAACTCTACAAGAAGTCGGTGATTACGAGAATATAATATCAATTCAACTTCCCAACTCACTTCATTTGTAATTTTTTGTCCAGCATAACAGAGTAAATATAGTGATACTATGTAGCCAAAAAGAAATATTGCGGCTCCTACTGGTTTAGTCTGGTGAAAATATTATTGAATGAATTTATGATCGACTGTGCATGTAAATCTTCATTAATTGTTCACAACGATTACTCATGAAAATTATGTCTCAACAACTCCAGTTGAAAAATACCTCAGAATACATAGGTTTCATCTTTATAAAATTGGGATAATACATGAATTGAATGAAGATGACTTTCACAGAAGAATACAGATTTATGTTTTCATGTTCGAACGTTTGATTGCAAATCGAAACGGCATCAAACATATTCATTTTAGGGTTGATAACACTTTTTCTTTCAAGTATAAAGGTCAACATTCACAATGTGAGATATTGGTCAGACATAAACCCATATACTTCTCGAGGTCACACTCAAACTCCCGCAGATATATTGGAAAATCATACATCTACAAAAATCACACTACCCATAGGCGCAATCTGTACGGTTTTTAAAATATAATATATTTGTAGATATTTATTTCATAATGAATTTATTATCGTTTTTATTATAGAGCTATTTTTCATGTTTTCAATTCCTAGAAATCGCACGTGGAAAGATGAAACCCCGTTAATCCTTAGCGCACACAAGTTATACTTCTTAGGGTTTTTCATATGGGGCGAAGGATTTGAAAGAATCTGTGAACGAATACATCAATCTCAAAAATAGTTCGAAAGTGATATGTGGAAACTAGGAAATTAATATTCTTTGGTAATTGAGAAAATTATATTAAATATTTTTCTAGAAGTCGTATGTTTTTTTAATGGTATCTGGATTATGTTGATCAACTGGCAGAAATATTACTGTCCCAACAAAAATCATTGACATTCAATACGATAAGCACTTGTTGGGCTTTTGAATATACTCACTTTGAATATTTGATTCCCGAGGCATCCAAACACCATTGCACATATCAGGGACATGTGACCTACGTTAAACTTCACCACATAATTCAGCTGATTAGCCATTCTGGAATAATAATCAAAACAATTGAGATTTCGGGAACTTTTGAAATATGTATCAGTCTAATCACTAGATAGGTACATCATACGATTGTATCACCTATGATACTTTGAAATCTGCATTTTCCTATAATGTAATAATTGTGATTATCGAGAAAATAACTGAATATGCCACTGAAATAGATCCTATGATCAATGAAATTCATTAATGCTTTTCGTAGCAGCAAACATTTTTTCATATCGCTATATCAAACAAAATTCGACTACTCAATTTTCAGAAAAAAATGTTTTTCAAATGGTTAGAATGGAGTTTTGTTCACCCAGTTGAAGAATTTGTAATTTATTTTCTATGATCTTCAGGTGTTTTTATATCATATGCTTTGAAACAATTCACTATGTTCAGAAAACTATTTTTCGTTCATCAATTTTTTTCAGTTCTATGTTTGTACATTCCATCAATGTTCAATGACGAAGTCTCGACAGCCCATATTTCATTTTTCGCTTTTTGCTTGAGAACGGGTAACATAAGCAATTCCCATTTTCTGAACGGTATGAAAGTACGAGTGTCGGCATTGATGGCTTACAACAATTGCATTTTGATTCGATCGTTGGGACACAAACGCTTGACCTTGAGTTCAACATTATCAATTTTCAATGTTACTTCTATAAAAGTTGTTGAGTGGAATTGCATGTTGAATCCTAAAAAGGGGGGAGCTGATGATCGCAACATTCGTGTTGGATATCTTCTTCGGTGAAATACATAAAATCTCTGACAGTGTTGACGATATTCACAACACGTACGGTCTCTAATTCTTCTTCACCGTTCTGTTAATAGCTGACAGATCAAAACATGAAAGCGCCTGCATTGCTAACGAAAGTCGTCTTTCCGGTGCCTTCGATTGTGATAACTTTTTCGCTCACATACTGAAGACTATCATACAAGGCGTCATATTCATCCGATTGAATAATGTTGATTTTGATAACATCGTTGTTGCGAGAAGAATCGACCTACTGATAGTACGTTCTCCATTGAATATAAAGTAAAGAAAATACTATTGTCTAATTTCTACTGAGTTTATCATTTGTTACGATCGGTTTCAGTTTGTTAGACCATTCTCAAGTAACTGATACATTTTATCAAGACAAGTTCTTGAATATACCATGATACAGTCAGGTGTCTGTAATAGTTACCTGCAATAACGAATGTTAACTGTTTTATCAATACCAATACTACAACAATAACTTATTATCTTCAATAATATGTCACGATTAGCAACTATTGATCCCTAAAAACTTACTTGTGAAATTTTTCAGCTACCAATGGATCCTGCTTTATGATCTCCATTTTTCCTTGAAAAGCCTTCTCCAATGACGAAATCATAAATGCTCAATGTTTCATTGATCTGAATGCCGATGATTTATGTGATAATGTACTGAACTCTGTCATTGTATATTCAAAGATTTGTACTATCTCTATCTGTTTTCGAGATAAAAAATAAATTGTGCTGAATATGGTCCAAAACATAGCCTTAATTGAAATTAAGTACATCAGTACCCTCAATACATGAAAAGTTGATATTTTGATGATAGTTTGGACAAACTCGATATATTCAAATAACACCAAGAAATCGACTCCATATCATACAGGGCGTGCTAAAATTACTATTATTTCCATTGTGCTTAAAAGTAGTCGAAAGTACATTTTTTCAAATGAAACCCCTGTATATTACTCGATAAATTGAAAGATGGTGAAAAATGCTTCAAGATGATATACATATATGTTCCTATACCTAAATCGTCAATTTTTTTTTTAAATCCGTTTTTGTGGAAAAATAGTTATTCACGTTTTACCTACAAGTGTTGAAAATGGCATTTTATTTTGTGAGTGGGGATTATTGCAAAACGAGCGTCAGCAAGTGGAGCAAACTCACGAGCAAAATAAAATCACTTTTAACAAAAAATGTATCATACAAATTTTTTTGCATAACGTTACTGCTGATAATAAAAAATCAAATCATTGCCATAACTTGTAGAAAATGTAACCAATTGTATCCTGAATTAACACCAATGAACGAGAGGGAGTTTGTAAGATTACAAAATAGTTTCCTTAACTATGGCTCCATGTTGAAAGGGCCTTCAACATTACCAAAACCTGTTACTTCAAATGAGGACAATACTGTTAACGTTTTGGCATATTCTTATGCATATCCAGGAGCTTCCATTCGCAGTGCAGAAAAAGATTTAGGTGTATCACATGCTTCAGTACAACGAATTTTGAAAAATCACGGAATGCATCCGTATAAATTTACCAAAGTTCAAGCTCTAAAAGCAGAAGACTTCGAACGTAGAATGCATATTTGTGAATCCCTTTTGATTCATACACAGGAAGATCGGGAATTTTTGTCAAAAATAATTTGGAGCGACGAATCAAAATTTACGAGGGATGGTATTTTCGATAGAAGGAATGAACATTTTTGTCGCGTTTTTGTACGCGACTTGTGGTTGCTTTTTCAATTTCCTGGGGATCCAGATCTTCAATACTTCGCACTATTCGCCGTCGCAATTCTTTTTTGGTAGGCACTGGAGTACTGTATACCCTTTCCTTCAAAACACCCCATAAAAAAAGTCAAGTGGCGTGAGATCGGGTGATCTCGGTGGCCAATCCCACGGCCCTAAACGCCTAAACCAACGATCGTCGAAGAGTTCGTCAAGTTTCCTGGANAACGATACGATCAATACAACCAATATGATCAATACAACCAATACGATCAATATGACCAAAATGACCAACACGACCAATATGTAAACAATCCAAATATCTCAGAATACCAGGATTTTCTTTCACTTCCTACACAACATCACCCTCCAGAATTCAGTCAATCTCAAGACATAACATCGGAGATTCAAACCCGAATCCAATCAATGAACCTAGAAGATTATCACCCCGATCTGAACTTCCCGGAACAACGCTTCATGTAAGTTCACTTCACTCCATGAATTCAATAAATTCATACCATATCAAAGACCTTTCAAATACCTTCAAAATTTCAATAGATACTGGTGCAGGAATTTCAATATTGAAACCAAAAACTTGTGAAAAATACTTTCACCGATTCCCAGAAAATGTAATAGTCTAGGGAATTACGGACCAAAAAGTTTTAATCACTGAATCGACCCTAATCAATTTTAAAGATAACGATCCTCACAAAGTCTATGTTCACAACTTTGATATTGAATTCGATGGTTTATAAGGATCCGATTTTCAGGAACATTATTATTGTAACTAATTACAAATTTCAAAACAGTTCCTTTATTCAAAGTTATAGATAATGAAGTAACCGAGAATTCGAAACCAAATCAAATTTCAATTGAACCCAGAACAGAAAAAATATTCAAACTCAAAAGTAACTTCACAAATACCGACGCTATACTGTTAGGGCAAGAAAAAGAAAAAGTCAGAATACCAAACGCTTCAGTAAAACTCGACAGAAATGATGAATTTTTTGACATCAATCATGAATGCCAACGCAATCCCCAAAACAATCGATTTTTCAGACCTAATTCTCGAACCAATAACAGACTTTGAATCAATTTTGAACTTTAACACCTCTCACGATGATTTAGAACAAATTGACAGAGCTCAAGAGATAAAAAAACAACTCAGATTTGACCATTCAAACCATGAAGAAGAACAAATGATAACCGAATTATGCCTAGAATTTTCTGACATATTTTATCTTGAAGGCGACAATCTCACCTTCACAAATGAAATTAAACATACAATTGAAACTAGCAATGCGAGACCCGTGTTTACAAAATCTTACAGATACCCTCAAATCCACAAAGGAGAAGTCAAAACCCAAATTTACAAAATGATTAATCAATGTATCATTCAACATTCGACATCCCCATGGTCATCCCCTGTTTGGGTAGTACCGAAAAAGCTAGATGCTTCAGGAAAACCCAAATGGCGTGTTGTGATGGACTATCGAAAACTGAACGAACTGTCAGTAGCCGATAAATATCCGTTACCCAACATTTCTGACCTGCTAGATCAGCTTGGAAAATGTCAGTATTTTACCAACCTCGATCTTGCGTCGGGATTTCATCAGATCGAAATCGACCCAAAAGACGTTCCAAAAACAGCCTTCTCTGTTGAGAACGGTCACTATTAATTTGTCCGTATGCCTCTCGGATTAAAAAAAGCACCATCCACGTTCCAAAGAGTGATGAATAACATCCTCCTTGGCATCTAAAACGAGCGCTGCCTTGTATATATGGATGACATCATTATATACTCACCAACGATCCAAGAACATATTTCAAGACTGACAGATGTGTTCAAAAAACTAAGAAAAGCCAACTCGAAAATTCAGCCTGACAAATGCGAATTTTTAAGGAAAGAAGTCGCTTATCTTGGACACGCAATCACGAAAAATGGCGTTAAACCTCCAAAGTTGAATGCATCCAAGAATTCCCCCAACCAAAAAATCCAAAATAAATCAAATCTTTTTTAGGCTCAGCTGGTTATTATCGACGCTTCATACCAAATTTTGCCAAAATTTTCAAACCACTCACAAAATTATTAGAAAAAGATACCCCATTCAAATTCGACTCAAAATGCGTAAAATCATTCAATGAATTGAAATTAGCCCTTATTTCCAGTCTAATTTTGATACACCCCAACTTCGAAGAACCTTTCCTCTCAACGACAGATGCTAGCGCATTTGTAATAGGAGCTGGTCTGTCACAAGGACCGATAGAAAAAGACCTTCCCATAGCATACGCCTCCAGAATACTATGCAACGCTGAATCAAAGTACTCTACGATTGACAGAGAACTTTTAGCGATTGTATGGGCTGTGAAACACTTTCGACCATACCTGTTCGGAAGAAAATTCGAACTCATCACTGACCATAGACTCCTTACTTGACTTTTTCCAATAAAAGACCCAGGTAGTAGGCTAGCACGAAGGAGACTCAAAGTATGACTACGAAATAGAGTATA